ATACATATATATACATATATATATATATACATATATATATATATATGTATGTATGTACGTATATGTATGTATGCTATTAATTTTGATATTTACATAAAAAATCAGCAAGCAAATAGGAAAATCTATACCATACACATTGATGCGTGTTGGAAGGTCTGCAGCAGTAGAGTAATTTATTATCATCTTAGCATTGCACGAAAATTTAACATACACTCGGAAAATTAAAGAGAAATACACAGGAGAAAACACCTCAATTTTCAAGGGAGAAATCTTGAAAATAGAAAAAACTACAAGGTTTAACCCAATTGAATCATAGTTGGTCACATAGATCATAGTTGGTCACATTAGTCATAACAGTGAGCTACTGTGACATATATGTATGTCGCAGTAGCCAGAGTTGAGAGTTACACGAGTTTTGAGCCACATTGGTCGTAGTTTGTCACATAGGCCATAGTGGTGATGACGTCCTTAGGTCGCAGAGGTCGGAATAAGAAGTTGCATGAGTTGTGAGCCACCTAGGTCGTAGTTGGTCACACGGGTCGTAATAGTAAGCTACAACAACAATCACAGACACTAGAAGATGAATTCAAGAGCTGTACGAGTTGTGATTCACGTAGGTCGAAGTTAGTCAAATAAGTCATAATGGTGAGTTGTGAAGATGTTCTTATTCCACAATGGTTAGAGTTGGGAGCTACACGAGTTGTAGATCATATTGGTCGTAGTTTGAATGTAGGTCATACTAGTGGGTTACAAGGAGAGAGCTTTAAGAGTCCGGAGAAAGTCATTGTCTTTAATGAACATCTACAAGAGGCCTCATTGCACAATATGTGGGGTGTATTGTTATGTCAACATTAGAGTGTGCATTGCACCATATTCCTGGTGTATTCTTACATTGTCTTCTAAAGGCATCGTTGCATTACATGTGGAGTGTATTGGTATACCATCATTGGGGTGTGTCGTTGCGTAGTATTCGAGGTGCATTGTTACACCATATTCGAGATACATTATTGTATCTTATGTGGAGTGTGTTGTTACAACATCATCAGGGTGTGTCATTTCCTCATATTTGAATTGAGTTAATGTTACACCATCTTCGAGATGTAATTATATAACAACTTCATAGTGCATTATTATAATGCCTTCGGGAGGCATCATTACATTGTATATAGGGTATGTTCTTACGCCATCATCAGAGTGACTTTTGCACGTCATGTTGGATGACGTATTGCTTCATCAGATGCTTCACTATTGATTCAACAACTTACGTTGGGATTCTACAACGTATATTGTGACTCGACAAGAGACTTCGTTATAAGGTGTGACAACTGATGGTAGTTGGTGGTGACTGGCGAGCGGTGGTCGGCGGTGTTGGACAGTTGAAGGAGTAGAAAGTGTTTGTTGGATCATCAGTACAAATTACTGGACTTTAGTCCCTTCTTCTCTAGGCTCTGGTCTTGCTCTAGCTCAGGGTCTAGGCCTTCTCTTAAGAAGGGGGTTGGGCTCTATTTATAGAGTTCGGGCTGTAAATAAGGAAAAAAATCTAAATCACTCTAATCAGAGAGCCTTTGAAGGTTCCCTAATCGCACAATGTTCGATGAACATTTAAGTGTCTTAATGATAATATAATTGAGTGATCTTGGGTTTGTTGGATTCGTCTCACAAAGATACTCGATTCAATTATAAGCTTGTCAAATTTGAAATATGTTGATCTTCCAAGTATGTACGCCAAAACTTCTATAAGTGATTTGATGGCTTCATTTGGGCTTGATTTGACTCGGATTAAACCAATTTAAGTAATGTTTGGTCTGTCTCATCAAGCAAATCAATTTGAATATAAGTTGGTTGAAATTAAAGTTCCAGATGATTTTTAATTGAAATTTGAATATTTCATACTCAAAAAATTATCTCGAGAATCATATTAATCATTTGAGTTTCATTTCACATAATCAGAATTGTTGATGACATTTCACATCTAAATTTTAAACTTTATTTTTCTCCCACCTAAATCTTTTATATGACATAAAAATAGCAGTATTTTAAAAAAAATTAAATATTTCTTTCACGCGCAGGTAAATCGACACATAGAGAGAAAGAGAGGGAGAAAGAGATATACCCGCAACCCGGAGAAAAGGTGAAGGACATGCAGAGCAGATAGAACCATTCGCACTCGGTCAAATCCTCCGGCAACAGAGCAAGCCCCGGCCGGCGGCGCTCTCCACACTCCTCGCCGGCGGACAGAAACTCGAACAGCTCCCTCAATTCCTCACTCCTCCCAATCTCCATCAGCTCCGAACTCTCCCCGCCCGTCGCCTGCACCGTCTTCCTCGTCTTTATCGTCCCGTTATAGCACCCATCCCCCCACACCAACAACCTTTTTCAATTCATACATTTATCTGCATCAGTTCCTCATAAATACAGAAGCTATTATGTCTCAGATTGAATTGAACAGAACTAACCCTTGATGCGAGCAGAGCTTCCAGAAGAGACTGTAAGTCCATCCGAGTTTCTGAACGACGGTTTGGAGCATTTGTTTGATTTGCTTGGTTTTTGGCAATGGGTGCTCTTCCATGGTTAGGGTTAGGGATTTGATGGAGATTTGAAGGCTGGAGAGATTTGGAGAAGATGAGGGGTTTGTAACTTCCTAATGCTGGCTGAGTTGTGGGGATTTATTTATTTCCTCCTTTTTTGGGGAATGTAAAGTTATCATTTTTTTTTTTTTTTTTTTTGAGGATATTTATGTGCATTTTCTAGTATTTTTTGAGAAGTATATGTAAGGAAAAGGAAAGGGCAACTTGATGAATAAAATATATGATTATATGTATGTGAGGATGATGAATTTGAGAGTAGTAAATTCAGAATATATTATAGTTATTCGTGGATCTCAAATTGAGGTTTAATTTTTCTGTGCAGACTTCTGACATAGCTCTACGTGCAGCGGATGTTATTCTTGAGTTATTTTCATGTTATTTCTGTGTTATTTTCAACAATCCTAAAATAACCCTGAAATAACTCGATGGGTTATTTCAGATTATTGAAAATAACCTAGAAATAACCTAAAAATAACTTAAGAATAATCCTCGCATCACGTAGAGCTACGTCAAGAGTCCGGACAGAAAATACGCTCTAAATTGAGTGTCTGAGAAAATATTATATGTGGTGACTGCATGTTCGGATAACAATTCTCAATATCAGACGTGTGGCTGCATCTGAAAGATCTTCTAAGCGTACGGTCCATAACAGATGATATTATTCTCCACATATGAAAACATTATAAGTAATATTTTTTTTTCCTATTTAGATAATCATAAAAAACTAAATTTGTATACATTTAAAATGAAGCAAAAAATAAAGAAATTTAATTTGTAAGATCAAAATTTTAAAAATAATATTTTTTTTATAAATTTCTAATTTTAAATAAATATTATAAAAAAATCCCCCACCTAATGAGATTATTTTGCATGCTGATTTAATAAAATCACCTACTATTTTATCTATTTAAATAATCTCATTTTCTAAATATTTATTAAAAATAATAAAAATCATAAAAGAATTACTAATTAGGGATTGTAAAATGTATAAGCATGATAATTAGAAATAAAATTAATATGAGATAATTGGATGTCTCTATCTTATGTTTCTAGGAAAAAATTATATGCAGATACGGACATACAAACTAAGTGTGATTTGACAGCTCGACAAGAGCAGCCAACTCATTATAGATGTTTGTAAACATCTGTAAATTTTTTTTAACGATTTTCATGTTTTTATAAATAGAAGGTTTATAAAAAAAATTATATGAATACAAAAATATTTCCTAATTATTGAACCCCGAGGTTTTATTAAATAAATCAGAGAAATAGAATGTTCTGCTAGGAAGAGATGAAAGAGAAAGATAAAAAAAGGGGACAATACAAGAGTGTCATTTTTTCATGATATGAACCTCGATTTATAAGTAAAGATCTCCTCATTATTAACTTTTCAGGAGAACATTTTTGTAGTTACAGAGTTAATAGTTTATAATAAGATTGGGGACCGATTTAATCAATAAGAGTTGTGGATCGTCTGGTAAGCCTTAACTCGATCGGTATCTAATCCGAAAGAGAGTATCTTGTCGATCGCCTTGAGGACTGATCCCCGCCCTGCAGAACATCTCCTGGCACGTTCCCAAATCATTTGGAAAAAACGCCTCCCTTGCCAAAATCCAGTTCAAGACAGTCGTCAACAACTATGCTCATTCGTCATGTCATCCTCCTGAGCCGTTTATCTATCTTGAGATTTGTGTTGACATATTTTTATATGTGCATATTTAGTTATCTGATTCCATTGCTCCTCAGAAGTTGCACAGTACATGAGGAGAGGAGAAACTTTTTGTATAAAAAAAATTAAATAATATTACTATGCAAAAAAGAATTTCTTTGAGTTTACGTGCCCAGACCATTATAAATAGACCTTAGGGTAAGGAGGGTTTGTGTCGTTTCTTTTTTTTTTTCTGCTTCTTTAGTCTTCTATCCCCTCTTTTTCATGGTTACCAACGATGTCTGGTGAGCGAGGCCCATCAACCAACAAGGGTGCCCTTCTCAAAGCAATGAGTGGCATGTGGGTCAGGGCTCACAAACCTGACGCGAAGCAAAAACCAACAGACAAGGCTACCAAGAGAGATTTGACTAAGAAGCAAATTGTGTTGGGGTCGCGAGTGAGGGGAAGCGAAGATCGATCTGAGTCTTCGGGTTTTTCTGTAGGTCCATCATAAGGGAGGGCTGTGGAGGAGGTTGGAAGGCAAACTGGTGACCGTCTTTCGGGACAATCGTTGGAGGTGGATACTCCAATCCAAAAGGAGGAATGTCCGTTTAGATAGTCGCGAAGACCATGACTCTTCAGGGGGGTGGGAAAATGTCGACTGAAGGAGGGACTCAGCCTTAATCTCAAAAGGGTGGTTTTTCCTCCATGAGTGGAGGAATGGAGGAGACCAGTGAGGAATTCCTCTCTTACACCACTTCTTAATGGTGTCAAGTTTTAGGTATGAAGTTTAAATCATGCTTTTAGTATTCTTTTTGCAGTTTCAGGAGCTATGAGGATCATTTCTACTTTTTCAGACACTGATGTTGATCCTGAGGGCAATGTGGCTTTTGTTGATTAGGTCGGGGAGAGGGGAGCGAATACTGAGGAGCGGGTTACTTTGGAACAGGGGACCGTGGAGCAGGACACCGTGGAGGCGAATCTTGTGGCATTGAGGATAGGTGACAATCCTCCCTCAGGCGAAGGCAGGAGCATGTGCGAGCAAATTTCTTCTGGCATGGCAGTGGTGGAGATGGCACCTGGGGTCATCATGTATATGCCGACTTTTTGGTGTGTTGCCTTGATAAAATAGAGAAGTGATTTCTTCTTCTCATAGTACAATCTCAGGTGGATAGCAATGATGGAGTTACAGGTCTTCTAGCGAGTCGATTTGGTAGAGAAAGAGGTCGTTGCACTTCATGAGGAACTTATTGTTTATTGAGGGGAGATGTCGATTGGTCATGGGGAGATAGCTCGGCTGTGTCAGGAGTTGTCGATCGTTAGAGAGGGTTTTGGTGCCCAACTGAGGGATAGTCAGGATGACCTCTTTAAGTTGGGTGGTGAGTTTATGTGCAAGCGGTTGCGTCAATGGGAGTTTATCCCAAACGAAGCTGCAAACGACCAGATAGTTAGATTTTTTCCTCTCTTAGTTATATATGAGGGTGTGGTGTGATGCTCCCTTATTTTGTAAATAAATTAATAAATAAAATGTGAATTATTTATTTTTGGTAATGATTGTTTTTCCTCGAGTGTTGCATAGTTCTTGTCACATCATTATTGTAGGCGGTGTTTCTTTTTTCAGTGCTAATGTGATAT